ACATCAGGTTATAGATTTTTTCTAATAGCTTATCATGCTACAATGCTTTGTAATCTATTTTTACTATACATTACCAAAAAATATCTAAATTCGCTCTTGCTTACAATTGCTTTTAAATTAAGCGTGTTGCAAATTAACTGGGCTATAACAATAAGCAACATTTTCAAACTTTTTTAGTGTTGTATATAATTTATATATAGGAGTAATAAGTGAAATATTCTGTAAAGAAATTAGTTTATTTTATCATAATACTTTTCTTGCTAAATGATTGCTAAATTAATTAGAACTTAATTGCTAAATTAATGGGAACTTAATTTGAAAAAAATTATACCAAGTTATTAATAGTCTATTGATATTAGTAGGTAAATTTTAAAACTGTTTAAAAAAATATATCGTATGATATATTTTTTTGTTACAATCGTTGTCTTTTTTATATCTTAGAGTTAAAAAAACCATTGGGAAAACAAAGTAATTTTTTAAAATATTTGTTTTTAAGAAATTATTCGGATGTTTTGAGTTGTGAGGTTTTGTAAAAGTATTTGTACTAAAATTACAACAAAAAATATCGTACAAAATTGGATAGAAAAATCATACTTTTTTTTGCTATTATTTTTTTATGCAATTACTCGAATTCACTTTTATTATTCAATACGTTTTTAACATTTGTTTTGAATTAAACAGACACCCAAAAGTCTCTCATTCAAAATCAGCAAATCAGATTGCGCTTATCTCTGCCTATTCTGAGCCTGTATAGGGTTTCAAAATATGCCACCCGGCCTCTTACGTTAAAAAGATAAACTTGTTGAACGAATTTGTGGTAAAGTGATTGCATGAGTTTATAAAGTTGCAGCGTTTTGAACTAATAACCTTTTTAATGCTTTTGTTACAGCAAAATACGTTGTTTACTAATGCTTGAGGCCAAGGCCGGCGCGATAGGGGTTGTCACACCCCTCCATCAATGATTTTTAGTCGGCAAATTAGACCTTTAGTCGGCAAATTAGACCCTTTTAGACTAGTCGACCCTTTCGTTATAGGTTAGTCGGTAATCTAGACAGTCGGCAAATGTCGTTATGGTAGTCGGCAAATTTTGGAAAACGAGGACCTTTTTTTTTTTTTTTTTAAGTCGGCAAAATGTAATGGCACCTCCCCCCCCCCCCCCACGTGATACCTACACGCGCCGGCCCTGCTTGAGGCATGATTTTTATGTAATGACTTCGCAATAACTAAAGAAGTTAATGATCCGTGACTGAAATCTTTTTAGTTTTTCCAATGATAAAATGATTACCATTTGTTAACGTTTATGATTTTTTCGTTTCGTATGCCATAATAAAGAAGTAAGGGTTCCGAATTTTCATAACTTTTTTGTCTGCACTCCTTGTGTAATACTTTGCTTTATCGCTCAGCCAAAGTTAAATCGGAATTGATTAACACTTTATTAAACTCGGTTGAATTTTTAAAATAAATTGCAGCTTTTAGAATAGAATTTCTATCATTTCGGTTGTTAAGAACAATAACAAAAGGTGATTCTTTGTCGGATTTTGCTTTTATTATTTGTTTAATTTCGATCTTTGCATTAATAGAGTTTATGTGGAGAATAGATTTTTTATCTTCTTCTCTAGCACTTGGTAAATCTGCTTTTTTAGAGGCTTCGATACCAAACTCTACAACGTTACTTTCCCGTTTTTCTCTTTCTTTTGCCTCGGCAACAACAGCGTTCCTTAAATGAAGTTGTTCGGTTGACCTTTTCGGTGGCGTATTTTCATTAACAACACTAGTCCATGATATAGACGGGGAAGGTACAACTTTAGCTTTCTCTAAAACATTCAGTTTCTTGGTTAACAGTAAATTGCAATTTTTCAACTCGTCGATTGTTTTGATTAGTGATTTTATTAATTTATCTTGATCTGCTTTATATACATTAAACTCAGTTGTTTGGACATTTACCATGTTTGCAATTAATATTTTAATCGAATTTCAATTTTACTCGAACTTTTAATAAACTTCTTATTCGTAGTAAAACACCTCCGTTCACCGCACGTTTGAGTATCCACCACACGTTTGAATATTGAGTATATCGAGCGTTCGAGTATATTTTGAGTATCGCCACGCGTTTTTTTTATTTTTTTTTTATGTTGATTTTAGGTGCCCCAAGAAGTCCTTAAGGTCTTATCACTGAGCACCGCGTTTGAGCATCACGCGTTTGAGTACAACAATTAAATAAATTTGGCTTCTTATTCTTTTGTTCACAAATTAAAAAAACTTTTAATTTTACATTTTGATATTAATTTTTAATAATTTGTCACTATGCAAAATGCCATGATGCAAATATGCCAAAAAGCCATAATGCAAAAAAAGTATTGATTTGGTTGACATATGTCAACCATATTTTTTCCCGTAACGATGCTTTAACAAACGATATTTAAACAAAACATTTGAAAAAAGTTTGCAAAACGATTACTTCACAAAAAAATCTGTAAAAGAGCTGAAACCGCACTCTGTAAATTTCGCAAGCGGAAATAAGCGCACTCTGTAAACTTCGCAAACTTTTTTGGTTTTGTAAAACGCGGTCTACAACCGCAGTTAATGCGTTTGAACATTTTTTAAAATTGTAATTATTAAGTGTTTATAAATTGAAAAACAGAATTTATTATTTCAGTAGAAATAATAAGTAGAAATTTATTATAAATACTT